CGTGATTGACGGCCGGGGCGGGGCCGCCTGCCCGAGCGGAGCGCGCGCGGGGGCGGGGCCTGGCGGTGACCGACGCCTGAGGGGACTGTGACACAGGCTGCTGTCTGGCGGGGCGGGGCATGGGGCGGGCGGACGTGATTGACGGCCGGGGCGGGGCCGCCTGCCCGAGCCAGGCGCGCTGGCGACTTTAAATCAAATTAGCAAGGTTTTTATCGAGAAAAACGTCGCTAACAGTCAAGTTCTTGCTCCAGTTGAAAGGGTCCTATGCTGTCGTTAAGGGAGTAACTTTTCTTCTCCGAAGGCCTTCAGGGCAGGTTTGGCTGGCTTGCGTCGTGGGGATCGAGCTGCAGCCCCCTGAGCCTGCCTCGTTGTCGAAGCAGCCACTTAAAGAGCTGCGCTACGGGGCGGGCCCCCGAGGGAGTAACTTCTGATGGAGGAAGTTACGGTGCCACGTCGAGTAGCGTACCGTCGCTGTGGGCGAACCCTGAATTCGTTTCGCTTTGCTCCTCAGGTTTCCGCGGCGCGGTCGGCTTTCTCGGCGAGATCCCACTTCCCTTCCTCAGCCCTGCAGCGCGCACCCGGGAGCAGCCTGCCAGGCCCACCGGCAGAGGGCAGGGCCTTTCTGCGCGCGGAGGATGGGGACGGGCTGTGCACCCAGGCTCCGCTCCGCTCCGCTCCGCTCCCCGGCGTGGAGCCACTGTTCTTAGCTCAAGCCTTGTCGGTTGATTGTAATCTAAGTAAAGACCTGTACCCTGATCGTGACCCCACCCCTCTGGGGACAGAGGCACCCACTTTCAGAAGGAGGCTGACAGGCCTGGCTGTGCCTAGGATATGCAGGGGGTGATCCCGTGCCTACTCAGCCTGGAAGTAGCCGGGCTTCTCCACCCGCGGTGAGTTTTGGATTTTATTTGTCATAACGAAAGAGAGGGGCCGGGGAGACGGCTCAGTAGAGGCCGGAGTTCAATCCCCAGTTCCGCAAAAAAAACCCAAACCAAAACAGGATAGGATACTTAAAATATACCTTTCCCAGCCAAATGTGGCACATGCCTGTAATCTCAGCTCTCAGGAGGCTGTGGCAGGAAGATTACTAGGAGTCTGAGGGCGGCCTGGACTGCATAGTGAGACCCTGTCTCCAAAAACCAAAATAAACAAAATTGTACATCTTTCCTCTGAGGATGGCTTTCTGGTTTCTTAGGATTGTTTGGTCTGCACGCACTGATGCGGACCAATCGCGGGTGGCTGCCCGTCGTGGGCGCTCTCAAAGCCAGTGCCCTGCCCCCAACGCGCTTCTGTTGTCAGCAGGTGTGGCACCTGTCGTCACCCTGGAACACGGCTCTGATTCACACCCAGGGCTGCGAGGCTGTGGGCAGACCCCCGTCTCTCAGGCACTGTCCTTGTGACAACAGGAGCTTCCTTTCCCTCTAGATAAAACGGTGCACAGCATTCTAGTATCTTGTCACCCACGGGATAATGCCAAACTGTACTTTCAAAAAATTTTTTGAGACAGGGCCTCTCTGTGTGTTTCTGTCTGGCCTTGAACTTGTGACAGTCCTGTCTCAGCCTCCCCAGTGTTGAGTTACAGGTGAGTGTCATCACACCCGGTGAAACTGGACATTCTTAAGCACATTCTTTTTTTTT